GACCTTTCCCTAGTCTTAACACTAAAGGGCTTGGACGTGGCCAGAAAAAGCTCAGCCTAGAAGTCTTTAATGCAGCCCAATCTTGTAGTTTATTACATTCTCCTTTTATTAAAGAAAGAGGGAATGTTTAATAGACATAGCAAAAGAAAGAGGTAAAAGAACAGGAAACGTGCATCACATCTTCATTAAGTGATCTGGCAGAGCATTTTACTGCTAGTGCTGGTCTCCTGAGTTGTGCACTTCACATCACAAGATTGTCAGTGCTTATGTTGGCTAAATAACAAAGCACTCCCCTGGCATCAGTAATATGAAATACTACATTTGCTTTTCCTGTTGTTATGATAAGAAGATGTTATTTCCTATCAACTTTGGATTTTTAAAAGTTCTCATGAACATATTTTTATACAAAAGAACATAAGTTTCATTTAAAACAGTTTTTAATTTACTAAAAATGATACCCTCTTTTGTTTGTGGGAAAGGTCTGGAGTTTCTTTCCACTTTTATTGTTAATTGTTACAGTTTCTAATGGAAACTCCTGAACTTTGTTGTCTTAGTTGTCACTCGTTCCAGTTGAAACAAGTACCTGTTTTAAAAGGGATATGATCTCTTTATCACTTTCTGGTAACCAGAAACCCCCCACATTGAGCATAGCCATTTTGTCAACCTTCAGCTCCTCTGCCCTGCTAAGTTTTTAGCTATGTTCCATGGGAGAAGTTGAGCCAAATTATTATGGAAACCTCTGTCTTGCCTTCAAGGTTTATCTGTTTCTTTTCTCTTTCAGAAAAACCTGAAAATGGTAATGAAAACAGAATTTCTGTCGAGAAGGTTTCTCTTTCAGAAACAGAGCTCCTTTGTTAGCAGAATGTTTTTGGTAAAACATTTCAAATCTATCACATTGCCCAAAGCAATCACATGCCCAAAGCTCCAACATCTTTGTCACAGTGTCAGCTCCTTTCCAGCTGTCACAAGGTTGAGGTTGGTCTGGCAGTCACTTGTTGCTACTGAGATTCTGGACCCATGTGGAGTACTGACTTCTCCTATCCGTGCAAAAATAGTTTGAAATTGTGCACCTGTTCTCCACCTCCTATACTGTTGATTTTTGTGTAGTAAATTACCTAAATCGTAGACCAGGATAAGATCTGCTTTTTGTAATTTTCACAGATCTAAACAGTCTGTGCTCTTCAACTCTGCTTGGGAATTGTTTTGGGTGAAATAGTACTAATAAAAACAGCAGCACATATAGTATAGTATATCTCTATTTAGTAGTATAAAGAAACCAGAACAAAATGTATTTCCTCTGCCATAATCCTGAATTATTAGTATTATTTTTTAACTTCTTTCCATACTGAATCTAAGAAGATTTTCGTAACTTAGAATAGAGTGGTAATTTGAGCAGGATGTACATACCTCTATCTCTGTCTTTTCTTTACATTTTTTTCCCTGCTAATATATTCTGTGGGTTGTCAGTATGAGAAAAATTACCCCATGTTGACAGCAAGAAGGAAGTAATTGTGACCTAGCTGCACAGGCAAGACTTACTGCACAGCCCAATGGCAAAAGCACTTATTAGTGGGGAAGGACTGTTCCTGTATACTTGGCATTCTGCTCCCAGGACTCCTGTTTTACCTGCTGTCATTGTATATAAAAAATAAAGAGCCCTGCAGGCAAGAAATACAAGCAACTCTCCCAATTCCAGATAAGTACTCTAAGTAGTTGGCTGTATTTCTGCTTCTGCTCTCTTTTGGACTTAGAAAATGCTATTTTTAATTATTTTCTTTCTTTTTTCTTTTTTTGGTGGTAACACAGCTTCAGAAAGAAGCTCTCCCTTTTGGTATCCTAGATGGTAGGAGGGGAGGAATGGATGAATACCTTGGTAGATGTCAGAAAAGTAAACTGAAACTTATTTCTCTGTTTGTGGTGAATGCCTTTATCACAGTAGTCAACAAAAAGGCTAATAGTATTTTTTGTATGCGTGTGTATACCTATGATGCATACACGCGTTTGTACATCTCCATTTGGGAGATGCTTCTGGCCACTACCCTGTTTTGAGGAGCCCAGTTCTGCCAGGTGTAGCTCAGAGCTTGCTTGACAGATACTGTGGAGGTACACCTGTAGGCAAACTATGTTTCTGATCCAGTTTAGGCATAAGCTGAGTAGCCAGCCTGTTAACATGGGTCTGTTGGCAAAACATGGTGGCTGTGTTTGTTGCCATTGCAGTACTATGTCTTTCAGGCATTTAAGGCACTGATCAATTGTCCTGCCCAGGACTGCATTAAGGGACACATACTACATAACTTTATTTCTATCTGTGCTGCAGGCTTTTGTCTTTCACACTGTTTCAGCACCACATAAAATGTCTAAGAGAGCACAGCATCCATCTCTTGCAACGTGCCATCTGTGGGTAATGACTTTTCTCAGTCCCTATTCTGGCTGAGCCATATGCTCACTCTACCAGCAATTTCACCTATACCTAAGGAAGAAGCCAGACAGTGGCATGCCATTGTGGATGCTAGCAAACTGAGTTCTCTTTCATGTTTACTAAGCTCATTTTGTCCAGCAGTCTCACCAAACAGTGCACCCATGGCCAACAAACTCTTTTGGGTAGGCAGATATGTATATAGTTTGCACACAGCTGCCTGTTTCAAAGACAAGGTCTCTGGAGGCAAGGGGACAATCCTAAGCTAGCTGCTTTCTATCTTGGGAGCATTACAGGGCACGCTCCATTTATTAGTCTGGGTGAAAACGCAGACTTTGCTACATGGCAGTTTCAGTCAATATCAAGGTTGGTTGATGAGTAGGTTTGAGTCTGATCTGGCATCCCCAACCACATGCCAAAGAGGCAGAGTTTTTGAAACTCTCTATAATAATGTCACATGAGATTTAAAGCACCCTTCTACTGTATCTTGTGATGTGTCCCGTGGTTTAAAAAGCTACTGACAAAGGTATTGTCAAAGTGAGGACATCTGAACTGTGTTAGAAAGAGCAAGTGATTCTGAGGTTTCAGTAGTGAAGTCCCAAACAGGACCTTATTGTGATGCCCCTGAAACTACTACAAGGGGAAGACATGGTGAGAGTAATATCACGGTTACTGTTGTGTTCTGGTTAGGAAGCCCACATACTTCCATGTAAGTGAAAAATGCACCATTAGGATTTTATACACTGAAATTCCATTTGAGAGGTCCATGCAAATATGTCATCATCTAGATTCATCATTAACTTCTGTAGATTTTTTCCATGCCTAAGGGATTAAAAAAAAATTTTGTTTGGTATGGTACAGGTCAATGAGTTAACAGAAGAGAGGGCAGAGTGGTAGCAAGGTAGATAGCTCATGCCACATGAGCCAACAGCTTCCTCCCATGTAGAAGTGTTCCTTCTGTTCTTCTCTCCTACCTGCAGCACAAGAAAGATGAGTATCACACTCATTCAGGAGGATAACATTTAAATATTGCATGCTGCATGATAATTTTTCATGTATCTGTATACTGTGCCAGATGGTTAGCTGATAAAAGTCAGAATAAATTCACTGATTGATAAACACCAGGTTTGTGGTTCAACCTTTGTTTGTTTTAATTGTTAACATTTATCATATTTATTAACCTCAGCATACAGACCTTTTTCATGGCTTACATATGGGATGATTTTTGTACTGTGAGGACCAATTCTGCTCTCAAGTACACATAGGCCCATCTCGTAAGTGAGGACTGAATATGGCTATTATGTGAAAATTGTAATGTTTTATGTCAGATGCCCACATATGATAATACTTTGGTATTCTTAGGGCCATGCTTACTCCTTCTGTTTCAGTTATAAATATTACAAGTGGATATTTCAGTAAAATTTTGGGTTTGTAACAATGTAGTAAAATCAGTAAAATCAAGTAGATGCGTAATAAATTCTGACAATCACAGCAAGTCACTTGCTGCTCAGTAGAGTTCTGTTTTGCTGCTCAGGAAAAGTATCACAATGATTGGAAAAATATTGAACCAAGTTTAAACTTCAATAATTGTGCTGCCAGGAAAGCAGATTTTTGTATCTTTAGTGCAATAGGCTGGATTGTCAAGAATGAGTAGAGAATGGGTTTGCAGAGGAATCATAAAGCTGACATTACTAGAGAGATGTTCATAAATTGTTGCAGGAGCTGAGCAAGAAGAGAATTCTGTTTTGTTGCTTTTATTTATTATTTTTTACTAGTGCAGAAATACCTGAAAACCATATACTGCTGTAGGAGTGAAGGTTGATGCTCCTCCACTTCCTTCACTTTTATGCCCCTAAAAGTCCTTCCAAAATACAATAAGAGAGCTGATGGGCTGCCACTGCATCTTTTCGAATTGCAGTTGCCCAAAATGGCTTAGCAGCATTTGGAAGCATTCAGGTAGATCATCTGGCTCCAGAGCAGCTTATTCCATGGTTTTCTATACCCTTTTTTTCTCAAACTTGTATCCTGGTCCTTTTTGGCCCAAATCTCTCTCCTTTAAGAAAGAGACTGAGGAATTTACAGTAAAGTCTAGCTGGGACTAAGTACAAGAAAGCACGGGCGTAGGAAGGAGAGAGCATGATGTCAATTCAGGAACAACAGTAAGGTTCACGTAACTTTGCCCAATCTTCGTGAGCCTCTATGTAAAACAAGTTTTGTATTTAAATGAATATTGTTAAGCCTTGTATTTTCCAGCATATGAGGAGAAAATAAAACTTCTCTGTGATTGGTTTGTAAAGCAAGTTTTATATGGAGGTTTTATAACTAGTTTCTTAAAGTTTGATATGTTTATTTTTCTCAAGAGTTTTGTGTTAGGAGATCTGTACGATGACTAGTAGCTATCTTCAGACAGATAGCAGCATATTGACAACACTTGACATGAGCTGCATCCTGGAAATACAGATTCCAGAATTTTGCTATATTTCAGTTTGATTAAGCCTGTACAAATAACAAATGAAAACTGAAAAATATTCTCTCTCACACATAATTAAAAAGCAGATGTTCTCTTTATGTGTTTTTTTTACAGCTGGCAGCATTAGAGAGACAGATCTTCGACTTCCTTGGTTTCCAATGGGCTCCTATCCTTGGCAATTTCTTACAAATAATAGTAGTCATTTTGGGTTTATTTGGAACCATCCAGTTTAGGCCTCGATATATAGTTGTGGTAAGTCTCATTTATTCTCTTTTATTTTTTGCAATTGGTTTTAAATCTTGTCCCATTACAAAACGTAATTTTCTTGACATGAAAGCACCAAATGTTGTTTCTGTAGAAACTTTGAATGTCTCAATGTTTTTTTGAAAATTGAGGACTAGTGGCACTTCTGAAATTTTGGAAGCTCTAAGAATAACCTAGAGAAAGCACTGCAGACGTATGACAGTGATACAAGCTCTCAGCAAGTCTTTACACAAGTAGATACCTGGCTAAGTATGGGAACATCTACAATTTAGTTCTAGATAACTTAAATAAAGACAGGAAATAAAAATTGTTTTCAACTTTACAATCAGAATCAACAGCCACTGGAAAAAAATAGGTTATATTTAGATGCATCTTCCTTTTAATAGGCAGAAGCAAATATTAAAGAAATTTCTTTGGTCCTGTGACCCATGGGTTACAAAGAAATCTTCTCTTACTTGCATACAACTTCACGAAGCCCTGTATTTACCACTTTCACCCCAAATAGCTGTGAATTTTCTCTGATGCTTGTAACTTGAAGCCTTATAGTTATGTTCCTGTGTTCACAACATAACCAGGAATAAAAATACTTTTCAAAGCTTTGAAGGAAACGGCTGTCAGAAGTATCCCTCTCACTTGCCTATAAGTTTCTCCTGAATGGATAATTATTACATCTCCGGCTGATGATGTCCGTATCTGGAATATTTCAGTTGTGTTTCCAGTAATGAATTTTAAGAGGCTCAAGTTGTTTGTTTTTGTTTCCTCGCAAAAGGGAGAAATAAATGTCTGCTAGAGAAGGCTCATTAAACTAATACTTGAAAAGCTTCATCTCTTCTAGTCAAGCCTGAAATCCTGTAATTCTTGTCATGTCATGTCTTAAAAGACAAAGTGAACAAAAAGTACACCCATGATATGCTGAAGTTCTTTACATTCCCTAAGCTTCATGAGCAAAGTATAAAAAGATGAAAATGGATTGATGCATTTAATAGCACTGTTATCTAATACCTGTCATTGGAGCAGCAGTGTATGTACATACAAGTACTGGTGGCCTTTCTGCTTCACATTCTCCATTTTGTATGTAAGGCAAAGAAAACAAGTGAGGGTAAGCATCTGTAAAATTACCTAAGAAATTGGTTTGTAAAGTGCAACAACACACATCTCTTGCCCTTCAGGTTCAGCTCTGCTTTTCAGACATGGAGGTTCTGCTTTTGCTGTCAGAATGAAGCACAACAGATGCTGACTGCTTCTCGGTCTTTTCCAATGTAAATGAACATTTTAGGCTATATAATAATAGACATAATATATATTATATGCTATATACTGTAATTATAATATGTATATCTAATATATATATAATATTAATAATATATATTATATGCTATATACTATAATTATAATATGTATATATAATATATACATAATATTAACACAATAATATATAGAGACACAATGATCATATATCATTTATTAATATGATATATAATACATAATATAATTTATATTAATTAATATATATAATATTATGTATAGTATAATACAATATATAATATATCATAATAATACATAATCCTATTTTTGCTCAGTTGCTACTTTCAGTCCCTGTACTGATCTATACTTTGCATCAATGCAAGTGTTCAGATACTTGATAAACTATCAAACCAGCACAGATCCGGCTGAAAACCAGTGATCTGTTAATTTAAGCACAGGTCAGCTCTTTGCCTTATTTCACAATAAGGCTAGCTCCAGAAGAAGGGAGGAGATGGAGGAGAGAAAATGGGAGCAAGTAGCCAGTGGCAGAGGACAAAAGCACTGATTTCTTTTGCAACAACATAGTCTTAGCCAGCTTAAATTGCTCATTGAGCGATAGCCTGAGGATCTTCCAATAACAGATTCTCCAGAAGCTGTGCTTTCTAGGGCTTAGTCAACTACATCAGGGCTTTGCTAGCAGCAACAGCACAATAGAGATCCACAGTATGGACAGCAGAAAGCCCTACAAGTGCCAGCTCAAAAGCAAAAAGAATCTGAAGGCGTCTTTCCCATGGAAGGACTCATACTGCCTCCCTCCTGTTTCTGAAATACCATGAAACTGTGTTCTACCTGGTACAGCAGTAAGTCTTTATCACTGGCTTTAAATGTAAGGTCTGCTTGATTCACATCTTCAGCAGGGTCCTGAATTTCAGAATGTGTTAAGCATGGTGTGCAGAGAGATTCCTACCCAGGTTGAGAAGTGAACTGTGCTCCAAATTCACTGAGAAGCTTCATGGGCTTCCAAGACCGTATCTGCGCTTTCAGCCACATCAAAGCCCCCGAATATGTTCATGGTTGATGTTCCACAGTAGAGTGAGAGCTTCTGTGAGTTTTGGCAAAAGAAAAATATTGAAAGTAATATGTTGTTTTGTTTGTTTGGTTTTTTTAATGTACTCGGCTATTGATGTTTCTGGTTTAGATTAAGCTAAGTCCACTTTAAGTGGAAGAATAACCAAATACTTAAGGAAAAGTATTTTTGATATCCGTTGTCTTTTCCTTAAGACTTCCCTGAAAATCGGCTTTGCTAGTGCATATGATGCCAGCAGAACACCAAACACTGAAGTCATGAAAGAATCATGTCAGAAACAACAGTTTACTTCTGTAAACTGGCTACGGAAAATTGATTGGATGCATGTGTGGGTAAACTGTCCCTATGATATTCTGTCACACTCTGGTAGAGACCTTGAATTAAGCTGAGGAGCTCTGGGGACAGACTACAGCTCTGCAGTCACAACTGAGCAGGCAGTTGTTGGTGCAGGCATTCAGAGCCATTGGTCTCCATGAGGACTGCACTAAAAGCTGAATAAACACAGAAGCAGCTGAATGCTTCTAACTCTCCCACTCTCATTAAAGCCGAGCTAGCTAGTTTAACACTGGCATTTAATGACTACATAAGCTGAAGAAATGTATTTTACATCAGTGTAAGTATTTTGAAGTAAAGGTCTGAGTAAAGAAATTACTTCTGTTTCTTAGCTTGAATGATAAAAAATTTGGGCAGAACTGCAACATAATGGCTGACTCTTGAAGCATTGCTGACAAATGCTGTTGTAATTCCAAGTAGAAAAAGTAGTGTTTGACTTATTCTACAGAACTTCACATTCAGGACAATACAGGACAGGATGGTGATTCTGAAATAAATATGGAATTTCACTTGGCTGTGTATAAAATTCTGAGTTCTCAAAGAAGCTTGGCAAACACAAAGAGAGGGAAAAAATAGCACTAACCCCAAATGTCCTAATTAGTTTAAATATAATTATTACTACTAGGGTTTTTTATTATTATTTTCTAATTTAGATGAATTGTTGTGAACCATTTGTCCTGTCATTAAGCAGATGTGTTATTTTCAATATTTGGATATTTTGTAGCTAAGTTACGTCAGTGAAAAGTTCCCAGGAGATAAAATAGTGCTGAGCTGATTCTTAATATTCCCATATTAGCTCATTCTGAACATACAAAACATTTGCAAAGAAGGAAAAACATCTAAATCTGAGTTCTAACTGCAGTGTAATACACCAGTCACTCAGCTCCAGCGTTTTGCTGTGATCCTTTTCCCTGTGAATACTTTTCCTTTCTTGACAGAACTTGCTATCACCAGCTAGATTTTCAGGCTGTTAAAATTGATTAAAAATGATAACAGGATACTTGTTAAAGTTATTTTTCCCCCTATTTTTACTTCTAATATGGAACTTCAAAAGCCTTCCGAACAATGAGCACATTGCACATACCTGGCCCAAAGATTAATATATTAATGAACAGTGAGAGATGACAATAATACACTCAAATAGGGGAAATATGAAGTGGAAATCTCTGCTTTATTCACCTTGATTTATTCCACTAAATTATATGATATATAGGCAATGTGTACACCCGAAAAGCCAGAATGTGTTTTCTTCAAATGAGAAGAATGGCTGAACTATGTATGGGACTGTTTTACCTGCTTCATACGTTATTCAAGTATATACTGTGTGGTATCACAATATGTGTGAAATATTTAAGCATCCAGAATTGCTCCTTGAATACCATTCCCGTAAGTCCTGAGTTATTACTTCTCCACCCTGTTGATTTGTGCCCCTTTCCTTGTCGCCTTCCCCGAATATGACTTAGTAGGGCTCTGTGAGTTCTGGTGCATCTGAGGCACAGACAGCTATTACAGGAAAAAGATCTGTGACTGAGTAGTTGCTGCCTTTCCTTTTGCACATCCATGGGCCACCAAACATTTCTCCTAGTGAACTATGTCAGAGGACGTGCTGCGTTTTAGATTAAATGCATACTTGAGATATTTTGTACACCCGAACTAAAATTACCCCAGAACGCTTGCAATTTTCAGACTTAAAAATTTCCCCTTTCTCTCTTTTCAATTTAACAAGCCATCCTGCATATATTTCCCTTTTTCTCAGTGGCATTTGTGTCCATCCAACACCAAATGTTTAACTCTCAAAGCAGTTATGTTTCACTGGTGGATGAAAGGTATCTCTGCAACACTGTCAGTATGAAATCATAGAATCACCAAGTTTGGTAAAGACCTACAAGATCATTCAGTCTAACTGTCCACCTATCACCAATAGTTCTCACTAAATGACTAAATGACTTGCAGAGCTAAAAGAGGTATAAAAGTACCACTGTTACAGAGTCTGACATTATGAAAGGGGGATTTGAAAGGAACTTCCTGGAACGGACAGAAATATAACCTTTAATGTTTAGGGAATATTCTCTCCTCATAACTTATAGGCCCCCAAATGCTTCCTCATCCCATGCAGTATCTAATCTGGAGTGCAAAAGGACAAAAACAAGAAAGCATACATTGTGTCCGAGGAATAAATCAACAGAAATTATCACCAATGTTCTGGGACCTTGTCAGCAGAAAGCATCTGTTAGGCAATAGTATCCAGATGATTTTTAGGTATGCATGATGTGGGCTATAAATAAAAATAAAATAAACACACACACAAAAACAACAACACAGCTCTCCCCATTTCTTCATCCTGTGTGGAAAATTCTTTCTTCATGCCAGATATGAAGAGGGTTTTGAAGCTGAGATCAGATGAGCCAGCGATGAACTGAGTGGGACTAACTAAAGAGTGGGGCAAGAATGCCTGGATGTGAGTGGGATAAGTGTGTGCAGACACAGCAAGACCATCCAGGTAGTGTTCAGAACATGGGGTGGGAGAGGTTGAATGGCAGCTCACATTACGAAACAGAATAAGGGAGGTGCCTTGGAAGGGAAATGATCCAGTGATCATTTGGCGACTGATGTTTCAGGTCCTTCACCGCTCCTCCACTGACAGTAGCTGTCTAACCACCTCCATGGAACTCCCTGGCCTGTTGGCCCTTCCCACAGAGGATGACAAACTATCACTGCCGCCAGTTTCTCTGCTGGCACAAAGCAGAATCCTTCGTAACAGATCTAGAAGTTTTGAACTGCACTGAATGTGTATAACGTTATCAGTTTCAGCAGAAAGGACAGACACCTTGGTTTTCTGGTGATAGCAGCTATAGAATACAAACTTGATTTGCATACAGAAGACGTGGGAAGAATTAAGCATGTGGCTGGAGAAATAAAAGGACTGTTTTTTCCTGTGCAGACTGCTCTGGCTATTTGAATTGTATCTCTACTCTCAACCAGCAAAACCCTTTTTTACACAAAGCAAGTCTCTTAAACTTCTCTCATGCTTTGTTTTCCCCTTGCACTCTGGGTTCATGATTGGAGATCTCATGGTCTGATTTACACAAATGCTGAGTACTAGGCCACTGGCTGCTGAATACTGAGCTTACAAAGTGCTGTATAAACCCTAGTGTTCTGAAAATAAACAGATCTCAAAACATCTTACATTGGATGCCTTTAATGTATGAACACTTGAGTGTAATCTCCGCATGTATCAGAATATCACTGGCATTCTGAGAGCTGTATCATTCTCTCATAACATAAAATAAATTTGTTAATGCTTGTACAGTTCTCACATTACAGTGAAGAGTATCTCAGAAAACCTCATGAGGATATTAATATTCTGTCTTCAGAGCAGGGTCTGAGTGACAAAGAGAGATGGAGTACTGAGTTAGTTGTTCAGTGATTGAGTAAGGTAGGATCCTTTAAAATAAAAATATATTCCTACTAACTAATGTTTGCATTTTATTGCACAGCCACAAAGAAAAACTGAAGTGGCATGTATAACCAGAACTGTGACAGTTCCTAATTTTGTTTTCATGCTTTTGTTTCTTAAAACTTTTCTGTTAGTACAGTCTCACTTAAGCACCTATGACGCTATATAAGGAAACATTATGCTACTTGCACAATCAAAAAGCTGTTTTCAAATATGAAGAACAACTTTCTTACTTTAGAAATGATGCAGAACTAGTTATTGAATATGTAATTATTATGTTCTTAAGCAAAACAGAGCCTACATTTATAATTCCCGCCATTCAGAGTGTGTTGGAAAAGCCTCTCCTTTGCACAGTGTCTGTGTTTTGATGTGCACATCTGGTTTGCACTTCTCTTTCACTAACTGCTGCATAACTAGAACAGAGTAGTAAAACAGAATAGCTTATCCTTGGAAAGCACATTCAGGTAGGTTTTATCTGCGTGGTTCAGAGACCCTAAACAGATTTGTCTTAACCTGGCAGATCGAGTGTGTTTCCCATTGTTAATGTGATGATAAATTTCATTCATGTACGAAAAAAAATATTTCTTACAAAGATGGAATTCTCCTGAATGCTCAGAAATCTCCTTTTTATGAACAGTTGTGCTTGAAATAAAACTGAAATCCCAACAGCTGGGTTTGTGTTAAGCATTCATTAATTTTGAGCGTTCTGCACCTGATGTTCTTAGGACACCAAATCCAGAGCTTATGATAAATTGCTATAAAGACAGCAAATGGGATAAAATGGAATATCCTCTTCTAAGTGGATCTCATGAACAGTACAGATCTTATACTGCTCACAGCTCATAGAAGATCTGTCTGTTTTATAATAGCCCAACCCTTAGTTGCCACCCTGCCTGTCCCTTTGAGCTAGAGAATAGTGATACCTTTATTTTGTTAATGATCTCCTTCTTATGCCACAGAGATCTCCAAACATCCTAAATACCTCACAAAAATTGAATTACACAGCTAACCTGCTTTGTGTTCAGAAACCATCGTACTCATGTAAGGATAATCAAGGTGTGGAAAACTTCAGCCCTTTTCAATTGAACTTTTCAGTGTACGCCATAAAGAGAAGCACATAATTGACACCTGCCTAACAAAGCCAAGTCGACAGCACCTATAGAATGGAAATAGAATCTGTCACAGTGCACATTAGGGTGTTAAATATTTCTGAATACATTGGAGGAAAACAGTAGTAAATTAGCCTCACCTGGTTACAGCTAATTAGACTTGCAAAGCCACTTAGCAGCAGTTCTCAATTGCGAAGGTTATAAGCACATAAATTTTAAGTGACTGTGCCACTGCTCATTATGATTTTATGTGATGGTAGCCCCAGTGTGATTGAGTATGCACTTAGCTAGTCAGATGTGAATGCTTCTGAGCTGCGCTGTTTGGATTGTTAATTGTGCACAGTTTTACTGTCATATATAGGTAAACAGCTTATCCATAAGGAAACAGAGACAGTCAATTATGCTGACAATTCACACATAAAAGATGATTTAAGGCAGACAAATAAATTTCCCATTTATGCTGTGGGTGGAGTATGTTATTCCTGTACCATGGTAAAAAGCTGGAGAACCTAGAAGAGATTTGGGTATATCCAGGTGGTAACGGTATATTGTAGGATCATGTTCATAGACATAAGGGCTGGAAAACGAATGGATCAGGCACAGTCAGCTGAAATAATAATCTAATTAAATTATCTTCTACTTAAAGACCATTAAAAAAGCAGACTAATCTTTAACATTTTCATTTTCCATCAGGATCCAAATGTCAGATCAACAGATCTTCTTTTTGGTGTTTTCTTTTTTTCTTATGTATTTCTTCATGATAGTTTGTAGAGTTTGGTCCACTGAAATTATTATACTATTCTGAAATATCTGTTAAACTAAAACATGAGTTACTCACCGTCATTTCAAAAGTCAGCATTTTTTATTTAATTGATACCAGTAGGATAGTGTAAAACCGTAAAGAATAAATCTGTTTTATTAGTATGCATTTAGAGCAACAAAGGCTATCTGATTTGTAATTTCCTGTGATTCTTATGAGACTTATGTGGGGAAAACTCCTTTTCAGAACTGTCTGCACTTGACTGCTCCCAGAAGAACAATGCTTACTGATATCAGGTGTTTTTTAAAAAATTATTGATCTGCTCAGTATGAAGTCCTTTCATCTTCATATTTTATTTTTTCTGTCTTTTTGCTTTCTTCCGGCTTTGTATTTAGTACACGGTGTGGACTGCCCTGTGGGTCACCTGGAATGTGTTCATTATCTGCTTCTATTTGGAAGTAGGCGGACTCTCTAAGGTAGGTCACTTACCGTTTTTAGGTTTACGGGAGGGTGTGTTAACAACAGAACTCTTAGATTTTAGAAGGTTGGAACCACAGAGGAAAAATGTTGCTGTTTGAAATACAATCAGATATTTGAAGCTGGACTCCAGTAAGAACTGCAGTGTTTTTGTGAATTTGTCTATGATAGTAAACAGCCATGGTTTTGAAGTACATAGTGCAAAGTATTGGAATTACAGCTGCCTTCTGAAGTAACATCTGAAAAAAATACATTGTTCCATAGAAAATTTCAGCTTCTTTTTGATCCTTGGAAGACAGACAATTCTATTTTGGGTGAATTATTAACTGCATATAAAAAAAAAATCAGAATTTCTGAAGCTGCTTTGAAAGCCGCTGAAGAAAATTACTAAGAAAGTTAATGTAATAACTTGTTGAGGAAATTGCTCTCACAAATGACAGAGAATGACTTTTTTCACATTTGAATAAAACTTTCCTTTACATGGAACATAATGCTCTAGTTCATTGAGTTCTTATTCAAACTTCTGATTAAAGCAGAAGTGTTTGCTGGAATTATCAAGATATGTGTTGCACTCATAAAATGTAGTGCTTATGTTAGCATGGGTTATATTTAGCATTGTATCTACAGCAAGTTCCATATAATATTTGTAGATTATTATCAAATTTCTATGCATACATTATATTAATCTTTGTTTGCTACTTCCATATTTAAATGGTTTGGGGTACGATATGCCCCAAGCACAAGTAGATACTGGGATTATTAGTAGAATAAATGTCCGTGCTACTAATAATAGGTATAACAGTATTGATTATACTACTGTTGATGAATACAATGATTTTAGAAAATTCTGAACTCTACTCATTTCAGGTGGCAGTGTTTGTGAGCTATGATATTTTTTGCATTCATCAATAAAACTCATAGATTTTATCTGACGACAAGCAAAAAAACTGGTGAAACCAGTTATTAAGAAATAAAATGTTATCTGATTGGTAAAAATTCCATTACAATTAAAGGTTTACATGATCGCTTCCTTTGGTGATGAAATTTCATAATGAAAATCTAAAATAGCTCATTTACTTTCTGAATATGATCTACTTCACTAGAAGTTGTATGCTAGATAAGAAAGTGAGTACCCTTCATAGATCAAAATAAATAATTGTATTCACATGTTTTTACTTAAAAATCTATTAGAAGTATAACAGAGAAGTGATGAATGTCTAAAGTAATTGTGCTTTCATTCTGGTTTATAAATAGTTTGCATTTTTTCAATTAATTTGGTGATGTCTGTTATCATAATGACTACTGTACTTTTTAAAGATAACTAGCATGTTTAAATAACTAGGAAGTAAATCAAAACTTGTAATGTGACCCTGAGTTTTTGAAAATCAAAGTTAACTTTCCACTGCAAAGGATTTTTATTGTGTCCTCACTGATAAGAGCATTATAAAACAACAGGTATGAATTGAAAACCTGTATCTTTCAGTTTCACTACCCTGCATCACTTGTGGATCTTTTTACTTAATATTTATGACAAATCATAATGCAGAGACATGGTAGTACAAATATCACTTAAGCAGCAAAGAAAAATGCCCTTTATTATTATTTAAGTTGATTGAGCTCAGAATTTTGGTGGAATTTTTATCATGCAGTTTGTAATTATAATGTTTGAAAAGTAGTTTCTCAACAAGATGATACACGTGACATTATCCTCATGGAAGTTAAGTGCTTCTGTACAAATTGCATCGAAGGCACTGCTATGAGAGCCAAGATAATAATAATAGAATCAAGAAGTTTGTTAAGTAAATTGTGAAATTTGGAGTCATCTCAGCACTGTTTCAGAAAATTAGACGATGTGGTTATCAGCACGTAGAGGTAAAATCCTAGCTATTCACAGATTGATTGATATTTGACACTAACTTAATTGGGGCCCATATTTTACTTAACATGCTAGCTTAACATTCATCATTATTCTTCATGAACACTTTCTGGTGTTGTAAGGAATGGTAAAAATGCTATTAGAGAGGTGAGTTAGTACCACCATCAGAGGCTTTTCAGAGGAGGCTATTTTCTTAGTGTTGACATCTCAGCTGGGAGTATTCAACTCTTTCCATGCTGTTGTTCTTTTTTCTTTCTTCTTTTTTCTCTTTTTTCTATTTTTTCTTTCATCTTTTTTCTTTTTTCTTTTTTCTTTTTTCTTTTTTCTTTTTTCTTT